GACTCTTGATTCAATCAGATTTAAGCTTAAATCAAAAGGAAATCCGCTCAAATTAAGAGGCTTGGTTCTTGATTTAAGCTTAAATCTGATTGAATCAAGAGTATTTTTTCTTGTCGATGTTTCGAAGAGTCTGGACTCTAGATCCACTGTGTTTTTTTCCAGTGAATCCGGTTTTTGTCAAAAGAAACTTGGCAACGTTTTTTTACGTCCTTTTTGAGCGAAATCTGGCTTATTATCACACACTGGAAAAAAAAAACACTTTGGATCTAGAGTCCAGACTCTTGAAAACATTGACAGGAAAAAGGACGCTTGATTCAATCAGATTTAAGCTTAAATCAAAAGGAAATCCGCTCAAATTAAGAAGCTTGGTTCTTGATTTAAGCTTAAATCTGATTGAATCAAGAATATTTTTTCTTGTCGATGTTTTTAAGAGTCTGGACTCTAGATCCAATGTGTTTTTTTTTTCTAGTGCAAAAAAACTGCTTTTTTTGGCTATTGCTTGTGTTAATAAAAATTGAATTTTCGTCATGGACGTAGCTCTAAAGAGTCCAGAGTTACTCTGCGTCTGTCCGTGTCCATAGACTTTGGAATAGTATCATAAAAAAAGGATGTAAAGTCGTAATTCAAACTGTACTTTCTAAGTTCCAACCTGACGGATTAGAACTGTGAATATTAATAATAAATTTCATGAACTACAAACATCGACAATGCTGTCTAAAGTGACATTTTTGCGCGGTTCTGCGGCAAAATTATCCCGAAATACTGATTCTAAATTGACACCAGTGCCTTAATTTTGGAATTTCTATTGTACTAAGACTCCTTTCCGCATGGATTGACACACACTTTTAAGAAACTGAGAATTTCGCTCATTTAATCTTCTGATCACACGTAAAAATCAGTAACATTTTGGACAAAAAAATTCACACCTATCCTCTTGTCATATTCACATTCGTAAGTTCCAGGAAGCGCTTCAAAAGCGGCTTTTATGTATGTATATTCTAGCGAAGAATCGAATAGTTGGAGTCAATCTTGCATTCTTGAGATGTACATTACATCCTTTTTCTGAGCAATGACGATTTGGACCGTATTTAGCAGAGTGGAACCAAAATTTTTGCTAGAATTGAAAGATAGAAGGATAAATTGTTCAACGAAGCTGTCCGAAAATTTCACTGAATTTTCTTTGCGCTGCCGATAAAATTCAGTGAAATTTTCAAACAGATTCAACCAACAATTTCTTTGTGAAAAAATAAAATGACGATGGAAATTTTAAAATGTCGCGTGGCGCTTGTGATACTTTGGCCGGAAGGTGAAGATACAGCGAGACGCGGCGGTCGAAATTTTAGTGACCAACGTTCGATCTCGTAACAATAAAATCGTCAATGATGCCGACAATGCGACCAGCGTAACCGCACCACGCTCCCGAGTACGAGTCTTCTTATTGTACATGCCTTTCGTGACGCCGACGTCAAAGCGATTCTGAAAAAAATGGATCTCATGCGACTGCAATTTCGTTTCAATATTCTATTCATGCGAGACACCCTCTTCCTTGTCCATCTAATTTTCATCTGCACGCATCGGGAGGCGACTAGAGTGCCTGTCTCGGAAGAGTTTACGAACATGTCGGTAATTTTGAGGTTTGGTCATGGAGCTTGTATGGCTCAAAAAGGCAGCCAACTGGATTGCATTTTGCAAAAAGGAACCAAGAGCATTGCAATGTTGCTAAATGGATTGTGCAGCTTCTTTTGTCTTGGAAGGAACCCTGATCATCTATGAACAGTTTTTTTTTAATCGCTAAAAACTGTAAATTAAGGACGAAAATTACCTTGTAAATTTCATATTTTTCAGGGTTTCAATAGTTATATTGCAATGGATGAAGTTACACAATCTCAGCAACATTGCAATGATCCTGGTTCCTTTTTGCAAAATGCAATCCGCAACTATGGCTAACCATTGCTATATGGCTGTGGCTATGGCTATGGCTATTGAATATGGCTATTTATCTGACAAAAATAGCTATGAATTCAAATTATCCAGATTGATTTATTCAGTGGCGTAACGGGTGCCCCCGCAGACCCTGCTATGCAGGGGGGCCCAGGCGCCTAGGGGGCCCTCGGCCGCCGGGATTTTTTTTTTCTCTATCTCTCTCTTTGATGCTCAGCTTTGGTTTCAAACTTTGGGCCTTTTCTTACCGAGATGGGGCTTCATCTGATTTTTATTGTTAGCTCGGGGTTTTTCACACTTCTCTTGGACTGTTACTAACTTTTCGTTTGCTGGACTCAATGATTCCTAAATAATTTTCTCTTCTTTCGTCACTTTTCGTATTTCGGGATTTAGGAGGCTCAAGAATCTAAAAGCCTTAGGGGCCCTTTGATTCTTGGGCCTCGGCTGAGCACCCGCCTTCCTTTAGATCCTTGATCCTTTAGGGGCTCCCTTTAATCAGGTACTTTTACGTTTTTATTTTTTTTATTTTATTTTTTTTATTTTTTTTAAAATTTATTTATTTGCGCAAACATGTAAGTGAATCAAATTCCATCTCAGAACATAACGTAAAAGTAGGCTAAATCCTGCACACACCGTACCTAGAGGTAAAAAGATATAAGCTACTGCCATTTTGATTTTTTGGTGGTTAAGGCTGATTTTCTCAAGAATTTTCGTGCTGCGGGCCTAGACCATAAGAGAAAAAACGAGAAGGGGTGAGGGACGGAGAAGGGGGGGATAATTTTGGAATTTTTTCGACATGGGGGGGCCCCTAGAAAAAATTTTGCGGGGGGGCCCAGCGGAAGTCCGTTACGCCACTGGATTTATTATTACAATTGTTAATACCCGTCGATTGTAAAGCACGTATTCGACTTATTTTTAGTATGAATTCATTCTTATTGCAGAAAGTCGCGCATTATTTATGAACATTCTTAAAAGAAAAATGGACAAACTCTGCCCGGTATGAATTATATTTACTAATGATTTTTCTGCGCGCCTGCTTTCGCATATCTCAGTTTTAACTAAAAATCCAGAATGTCACTTGATCTGTTCTTAGATGGCACACCGCACCTGTAACTTCATATTTACTACTAATCTTCAGTGCGAAAAATGAATGATCGCAATTTTAATGGGTGTTTAAAGTTATATTTCTCATCTGTTCTTGTTACGGAAAGCACGCAGGGGGAAGTAAGAGCAAAGTATGTTATGTAAGAAAAAACAGCAAAAAAAAAAAATCGTCTTGAAAATTTTTTTTCGAGGCACCCTGTATAATGAGATGAAATCCATTCGTCAGAATAATACGGGTTGATATTTTTTATTCATACAATTCCACGAAGATAATTTTATCTCGGTTTTAATTCTCAATGTAGCGTCCTGGCTATCATTTACTTTGTGATAGTCATGATATCAATTCCCCGAGCTAATTCAGTTCATTCTTAGACTTCAATATGAGTGATTCCGGCCGTTTTTTCCTGGGAATTCCCTCCACAATAATATTTTTCCAAATACATCTTATTTTTCAGGTGAGCGTGATCTAAAATAACGTGCATAGGTACATTAGAATGGATGTGCAGTCATAACAAACGTGAAAAAGTCAACACATTTTATTTTACATTTTTATTCATTGGTTTTTCAGACACATGGTTTCCTAGACCTGAATACAGAAGACGTGGATGATTTTTCTGCCCCACATTTACGCCCTCTTAAGGTAAGCCAGTCTTTAAATTGCGTAATTAGTTCGGTAGCCTGGCAATGCCAATCAACTGATCGTTCTTGCTATTTTCCGACAAACCTCGATGCATGTTTAAATCAATACAATAAAATCGGTAATCGACTAATTTCATTTTAATTACAGTGCAGAGGATATTTCGGTTCATTCAAATCTTTCCAAAGTTTTACATGCCAAACATGGTTAAACTTTGTCAGACTTTCGGCGAATCTGATAAAAGAATACCTCAAACTATAACCGCTAAAAAATTCGCGTCGAGTCCAAAAGCCAGCAGGTGGTCACCAGGGAATGAGGTTGGACTTTTAGATGAATGTAAAAAAAGTGTCTTAGTGAGTGTTTTTATTTTTTCTTCACAGTTTGAAATATTCTGGTGGCACATGGAGTGAAAATTAAAGCAAATGTAAAAAATGGCTTCAGAAGGGCTTTAATGTATGATGACTCACGAAAAAACAAGAAACGTGTTTTGCACGCACTTTTGTGCTTTAGAGTTTTATACATTGGTTTTTTATCCAAAATCTCAATAAATTTTACACTTTACAATGACGTTTCAATTACAAGAAAATACGGCAGATATGTCCCAATTTGGGCTGGGTCTTAAGCGGATGGTCTAATTAAGTATTTCATTAAATGGTCAGGAAATAGATCGATTATTAGGCTTGGTCATAAAAAAAGATATCAGCAAATTGAAACTAATGGTGCATATCAATGGCTAATGAACAATACCTGATCGTATCTGCAAACTGACGATTTGCAGAACGAAGAGAAAACTGCGCCATTTTTGTAATGTTAATGTTAGATTTGCAATTTTTGCGTATTTTACTCGTCATTGAAGCGCTATCCTACAGAATTGGAAAAAAACTGGAATCACCAGCTTGCGTCTTTTATACTGTAGACTGCGGCGAAGTCGTTAACTCATTTTTGATGAAATTGTCAGTCAGGTGGTATTGTTAGTTAGCCCTCGATAAGGTGTTTCTAAAATTATTGCATTACCGAATCCAGTCCCGGAAATTTGTGTCTTGCCCTTTGGTAGATCCGACCGAAAAAAAGTAACCCAAAGTAATCATATGCCGGAATCACACGCTGAATGTGGCTTGAATGTGGAAGTCATCATCGTCCCGATGCCTGAATTTTGTGCGGGTCGTGCAAAATCCAGCAACGATTCTCAGCGACCATCGGATAATGTCGAATTTGTCTGAACTATTCGAATAGATTTGTTACACATCTGGATAAAAATAACTCGACTTTGCAAAATTTCAGCTGTTGACTTCCATATTCAGCTGCCAAATTCAGATTGTCATTCCGGCAATAAACACGGACTTTTTTAACTGATGCCGCAATCACACGCTGAATGTGGCTTGAATGTGGAAGCCATCGGCCGACGATTCTCAGCAACCATCGAACTAATGTTGGATTTGTCTGAACTATTTGAGTAGATTTGATACACATCTGGATGAAAATAACTCGCATTTGCTAAATTTCAGCCGCTGGGCGATGACTGTTGACTTCCACATTCAGCTGCTAAAATCAGCGTGTGATTGCGGCATGAGTGAGATCCGACTCTCTGATCCTCCCCCAGCTGGGCGCCCCAGAGCCACCCGCCTTCACCCACCCGCGCTCCTGGGCGGAGATGCGCGACTCTGCGCTATTCGTGGACAAAACCGCCTTCATCCACGACTTCTACGGGGGCGTCAAACCGCGTCACTGGATGATCAAAGGCCGACGCGGGACCGGGCGCACCATGATCCTGGACATGCTCCGGCGCTTCGTCGAGCTGGACCCCAACGTCAAGGGCACCACGATGGTGGCCAAGAGGTCCCACAAGAACTTCCACCTCTTCGCCGACCCCCTCCCGAGCACCGGGCTCCCGCCGGAGATCTTCAAGAACAAGCCCTTCTTCCGCAAGCACTTCGGCTCCTACCCGGTCATCTACCTCGACTTCAAGCTGGCCGGCAGGACCTACAACGAGATCGCCCTCATGCGCCAGCTCCTCATCGGGCCCATCCGGGATGCCGTCCACGAACATGAGTACCTTCTTAATTCGACCGAGATTGACGAGGAACACAAGGAGCTACTCAAGAAGTACCTCCATCCGGACCCCTTGGCTCATGAAGCTGTCGTTCGCGCCTACCCGCCAAAGACGGCCATCCTCCTCCTCAAGAAAAGCATTAAGGATCACACTAAACTGTAAGAAAACCCCTATTCTATAACCATAGCAATATTGTAGCAAGGAAGAGCGCCGTATGAGCTTTCAAGAGTTGCCAAATTTGAGAGTTGCCTTGGATAAAACATGTATTTTTAAGGAAAGTTTCGCGCGTTTTTTCTTGAAATTTTCAGATATTTTTGATTAAATTGCGACCAAAATTGTCTGAAAAATTGGTAGGAAATATTTACAACTCTCCCGGTATATTCATTTTCGTTGGGCAACGTCTGAAGGCTCATACGGTGTTCTTCCTTAGCACGGTAGAACAGTGAAACTGCAAAAATGCGGTGTTTCGAAATCGCCGCTCCTATTTGATTTTTAAAATGAGACCAAACCAACATCGTAGCTTGAAATTTTCGCAGAATTTTCTGTATAAAAATGAGAAAAATCACTAAAATTTTCGAAAAATTACGTTCTGTAGTTTTCCATACAGCAAATAAAGTATGACAGGAAGTTTGCAACGCCGGAAACCGAGATACGCGTTTCTGCAGTTTCACCATCGATAGGTGGACGCAGCAAGTTAGCAATATTGTTTCCTCCCCATTAAAACCTTTGGAAATGTATCGATGACAAGAATCAGTTACACAGCACAGGTTTAAATGAAGGAAAGCACTGTTGCAAACCTTCTGGATCTGTTTGTGCCTATAACCCTAGATAGACGAACTGTAATCGGAAGTAAATTTGAAAGCATTACAAAGCTGATACAAGCAGAGCATACATTACCACAACCTTTTCGGACGATACGTCCATCAACAAAGGTGCAACCATAAGGACCAATCAACTAAAAACAACTACGCCTCGGCTATGCCTTTTCCATTGCCTCCTGTTGACATTTAAAGTTGCTTTGTGTTTTATCGCAACAGTTTCAATTAATGCTTTGATGACAGGTTTTTTTATTACAAATGGATGTATTTCTGTCAAACGGAACTAAGCGCCATAGGGTGAGGAAGGTAGAGGGGGGCTTGAATTGGCGGCAAAATCGGGCGTCCGGCTCATTCCGTCCTATACTTGCAATGCTTTTCCATGGCGCTTAGTTCCGTTTGACAGAACGCGCTATCCAGCATTCTAAATTCCTCAAAAGGAACTCAATTTGGCGCTTAGTTCCGTTTGACAGAAATACGTCCAAACAACCTATCTTGAAACTCTGCCATGGATTACGCTAAATATGCACCGAAATTTCCCTTACTTTTCTGTGGAAGTAAACCACCTGGAAATGAATTTCATTTACTCCAAATGCTATGAAAAATTCCAAAATTGAAGCGCTGGGTGCAAAAACGGCATGCCTTGGTTGCGGTGTCTTAGAATCTTTGCTAACGTTTCATCCATTATAATTAAAGCAAATGTGTGGAATTCGTTGAAACTAAATTTTTTTTAAATTTTACAACGCTGAATATGAAAAATTTCAGAAAATTTATCCAATAGTTTCCTCTCTAAAATATAAATTAGTGGCGGAGATTCTGAAAAAAAAAAAAACAACCAAGAAATGCCTTTTTTGCACCCAACGCCTCAATTTTTGCAGCATTACGAGGCTCATGCTCTTGTCAACCGACGAAGTATTTTATTTTAAATACTTTTTTATGCATATGAATTTAATTACTGAAACCTTCCCTTCCAGCGACCCCGTATGTCTAGTGGACAACGTAGACGCGCCGGTCCAAGAAGTGATCTTCGACCCTGAACAGGACTCCGCGCTGGCACTCCGGAAGCTGGACATCGTGAGCGGTCTCATCGAGGCCGTCTCGGACAAGGAGCTCAACATCACCGTCCCGGAGGCCCGGCGGACGATGATCGTCTACTCCATGCTCCCGTACCACGAGTCGGTCATCTACACCGGGCAGGCCAACAGCATCCCCGGCTTCTTCGAGGCCGAGGCCAAGGCCCTGGCCGATTCCTGCGGGTACGGCCACGAGCTCATGAAGATCCGCGACTGGTACGGCGGCTGGGGGCTCAAGACCCACCCCCAGGGCGATAAGTACAACCCCTTTTCGTTGGTGAGTTTCCTGACGAGTCAGTCCAAGGAGTACAAACCCTACTGGCCCGAGATCGGATCGCTGGATACGTTCAGGTGAGCAAGTCGTGAATCGAGGTGACACGACACCTTAACTTTTGAAATTTCCTCACTTTTCGAAGTTTCGACCATACATTGGACGTATTTAAATCAAAAGGAACTACATACAAATGTATGTCCATCTGTGACATGAGCCCTGTCAAGCATGTATTCTAATTGATCTGAGGACTCATTTCGGGACGGATATAGTTCCTCTTGAATTAAATACGTCCAATTTACCAAGTTTTCAATAGTTTTGGGTATCAAAATTCTTTCGTTTTCGGAAATTTGCTTTATGTGTGTCTTTCCGTGCCTGTATCTTACGAACAAAATAAGCTATCTTGGTAAACAAGTTCGTGTTTTGGACTAGTATAGTGGCTGAAGCTATTCGGTTTGTACCATAGCTAGTTAGTTATTTTTATTAGAGATATTCAGCAACTTAAGCGATTAATGCCTTTTCTGGAAATACGAAGGGTGAGTACAGTTACAATTTAGAAACGTATTTCTATTGGTGGTAGAAAATATTGTTGGTTAGTCATTTTTATTAGAGACACTCAGACCCATCTACTTATGCTGTTAATGTTTTTATGAAAAAAAAGTACAATGACAAAAATATAAACACGTAGTTCTATTCAAAGTTTATATGAAACAATACCAAAGGTTTAAAAATTGTTATGATCTTTTGAACTTGTCAACCGTCTAGAAGTTAACATTCTAACGTCATAAAATAAAAAGTACTGCAACAAGTACTTGCTTTTTGAAACAGCTCCATCTACGCACATACATATCCATATGTATCTGAACTATGGTCAAAATCACATGTTTCAAATCGGCTCTCTCTGTTTATTTCCAGGACCGTGTTCGCCGGCAACTGCTACGGCGAGTGGTTCCTGGAGTGCTACCGCCAGTGCGAGTTCACCTCCAACCAGATCAACTTCTGGGCCTTCATGCTGCCGGACATGGTGGTCGAGATCAAGAAGCTCCAGCGGATCCGCTCCTTCTCCCAGTGCGAGAACAGCGTCGCCGTCTACCGCTTCGTCGACCTGCTCGAGAACCTCGGCTACCTCAAGTTCGCCGAGTACGTCGTCCGCCGCGTCGAGGACGGCTGGCCCATCACCAACGCCTCCTTCGCGTTCCGGGTCCCGAACCTGGAGATCAAGAGCTACATGTCGCGCTTGTTCTACGACGCCATGGTCGACGAAGCCCCTATCAACGGCGACCCCAAATTCCGGATGGAGTTGATGGAAACCATCTTCAACATCGACGGGTCCGAGAGAGCTATGAGGAGGTTCGCCCATGCATTAGCGAAGCTCTTCGTTGCGTTCGAGGGCGGGCTCAAACCGGTTAATAGACTGGTGGCGCACTCTGTGAGAGTTCACTTGCTTCACCCGCCCGGGCCCGAGTTTGAGGTTAGGTACGTGAAGACCGGACGAACTGCCGACGAGTTCAAGAGGAACCGGAATAATACGGACCTGGCTTTCGTCGTCCGCAAGATGGCCGCTATCCTGGGCTTCGTTGTTAGGATTGACTCGGTCAATGATGTGTCGAATATGACTCGGTCTCTGAGTGAGGATTATTTGGACGTTTTCAGGCATGGGGTCCTCCGGGAGGAGACTGATCGAGCGACCATCAAGGTAGTCGCTAATTTGAGCTGTGATGGACACCTGTGTCGGCTTAATTACCTGTTCAATAGCACACGTTTACAGGATCAGAAGTATTTACAAGTAGAGAAACACTACAGATAACGATTAATATGAATCACAAAAAAAACAAACATTGATTCTGCTCCAATGGACTGTTATTTGGGTTACATTTTGCAAAAATGAACCAGGAGCATTGCAATATTGATCAGATTGTGCAGCTCCTTATATCTTGGAAAAAAAAGTTGATTATCCATTAACAGTTTCTATATTTTACTCGCTAAAAATGTAAATTGAAGACAATAATTACCACAGAAATTTCATACTTCTTCAGGATTTCAGTAATTTTATTGCAAAGGACGAAGTTGCGCAATCTTAGCATCATTTCAATGCTTCTGGTTCCTTCTTGCAAAATTCAATCCACTCATTTTTAATTAATTTGTAATTTAAATGTAATTTTTCACCTGTACATATGTCTATTTTACAATTTTCGAATCTCATTTAATTAAATATTTCATTTATGTTTTAGTTATGTTGTGTTATGTTTATGCTTTCCATTATTGATTTCTTAGATGCACTCACAAATGTTCGGGATTTTATTCGGTTTAGATACGCACCTCTAATAGCAAGTTAAAAATTAAAGGGAGAAATACTTTGTTTGAGGCATCTATACAATTATCAGATATTTTTGATCTACTAGAAAACCACGTTTTTTCTCGTGTAGAAAGAGATATATACGTAATAAATTACCTACATTTTCTGGAAACCTCTTCCTTCAGTTTTTGAAAGTACCTCAGTAACGCCGGGATTCAGAACCATAAGATTTTGATAACACACTAGATAACATGACTGACCTTTTAGTAAAATTATCCTTGCACGAAACGGGCTCATATTTTAAGCAAAGACTTTCTTTTCAACCGTTTTACAGACTTAAGTTATCGGTGCAAAGAGCATAATCGATGTTCCCAAAAGTTGATACTAGAATGCAGCAAATGTAAAGCTTATGTTTTGACCATCTAAGGTAAAATTGTCCTCTCTACAATCAAAAGCCGTGTCTTCCTGTAATTTTCCCTAGTAATATCAGGAAATCTTCAGAGACATGTTCGATCCGTATGAACATGTTTGCTTCCTCCAGAAATGGCGTTGGCAGAGATTTGAGCTAGTTGCTAACACGCGATAGCGCGAATCTGCGGAAGGAAGTCATGCGAATATTTAAATTTGCCAAATGTCCTTAAAATCAATTTTCATTATTGAGAAAATTGACGACTCTAATCTTTTGAATTTTTTCTTTGAATTTGTTGGTCTTGTTTTTATTTCAAATGAAGTATTTCGAAAATCATATGCAAATTGCGAAGGAAAATATTCACAAATTTGACAGTCCTAGTATTTTATCACAATAAATGTTGAGACATCCGCGTGATACTGCAACGGTTTTCTATTAGTAGGGAAAAGCCCCCTCACACTTTATGTTGTGATGCCCGACGTTATAAAGAGAGTCAACTTGTCAAAACAGCAAGGATTTCAGAGGCACATTTATGAAATGACATAACAAATTAGTGATAAGATGTATAGAAGATAAATTCAGATGGCGCATGGTTGAGTTACGCCTACGGCCCAGAGAGGAAACTTGGCAACATCGAAAAGTCCTTAGCGGTGATAAGGCCCGACTGATTACATAACTTGAGAGTGCTTGGTGATACAGGGTGATCAAGGTCTTAAAATTAGCCGCTTGATTTTTTAAATCTAAATTTGATATTTTGCTACCTCCCCTCTCCGCCAAAAAAAAAAAAAATAAAAAAAAAATAAAAAATATAATATTTTGTAAGGAAATCGCGTTTTGTAATAATTTTTCCAACACCGATCGATCAGATTGGATGAGGACGGTTTTCGAGGATAATTTTCGGAGGTTCATCAAAATTTAATTGAAGAAACGGATCACCTCCATAAAAAAATAGGGAAATGATCCTACGTCAAATTATTTCTTCTTCATTTTGACTATCGCAATCACCTCGGGTAACCGATTTTCATCTCACTTAAAAAACATTGAATTCGTAAGTGAATAAATGCTCCTGAGGCTTCGAGAGGAAACATTTGCCGCAAGGAGAAAATATTTGATGGCTCAAAATTCTGATACAATTCTTACATATTTCTGCTAACGAACATGTTTTTTTTCTTCTTTTTTTTCTTCATAAGTAGTAAAGAGTCAGGCTCACTGCTATCAACAAGCAAACAATTTCACAGTCTTTTGTACTTAATTTTGCTCGTAAATCTTCGAGTCCTGATTAATTTGAGGGATGCGCTTTAACGTGACCTTCATCTTTAAATGCATTTTTCGCGAGAGCACAGAAATGTCACTGAACCCCTTCCTAAATTATACTGATTCATTATTTGGCGCATCTCAAGATAATAATTGTCGAGTTTTCCATCTCAAGCTGCAGATGCATTCGTCTAAAAATATTTTTCACGACGCATATTGCTCATTAATGTTCATTATGTTTCTGCCGTCCTCACCAAAAAACGCCGTAATTCCGTCTTAGATTCGTTCAGCTTTTTGCCGAAGAAATGTTTCATTGCCGAAAAACCATCTTCCATCTGTCGTTCTTAGCTCTAAAATAACTGTGGAGTACCACTGAAAATTCAAAATGTACAAAATAAAACACCTTAGTGAACAAGTTTTCTAGTGAAAGAACAGTATGTGCGGAGGAAAAATGCAAAGGTTCATTGGAATTACAGCGTTTTTGGTGTGGCCGGCAGATTTCTGACTCTATATCAGCAACAGCAGATACCGTGTTTCCTTCAGGAAACACACGACACAAATACCAAACACGCATTAGATTTAACCGACTGAGGGAAAAGACACGGACCGCAAGAAATCGAATTAACGTCACTCACGCGTATTCGAGACGTTCGTGTGAAATATGACGTGAGATTCCATCAAGTCATCGTTAGGGAATGCACATACCTGCAACAGAGGAAGGAGAAACACAAGTTAGTAACATACTCCGAACGAGAAGAGGGGGGGGGGGGGTCGCCTTCGTATAGATTGATAGATTGATATTAGAATGGAATTCTTGCATGCAGCAGGGATTTTCAATTTGATCATCCGTTCATATTATCAATCCTTATCATCGTGTGTCTCGTGAAATTATCTTCACGAGACATACATATAGTACAATGATGCCTTACTGGTTTCTTTCTCTCGATCAACTCCCAAATTCAAGGGAAGTTCTCAAAATTGCGACCGTGAAGGGAGCTTTTCTTGTAAAAGAGCCTGCAGTCCGCTCTGGTATTTTGACAAACCCACTATACACAAGAGATGTTGCTGGACACACTGGAAGAGTTGCAACTCAATGAGGGACCTCCATTATTCTCGATTATTCTCTCTAGTCTGTTAAATGTTTCTAAAAAACTCACTTATGAAATGGCAAGAATGATGCAGTTTTCATCTTTTTTAACACCAAAATTTGGACCGCGTTAAGCAGAAAGGAACCAAGCCACATCATCGAATGCCAAATTCAATTTAATATTTTACAAGAAAACGGCGATGCTGATTTTTGAGCAATTTCAGGGAATTCACTGCAAAGTACGAAGCAAATCCCTTGAAATTCTCAAAAAAATCCGCCAAACTTTCTCCTGTAAAAATTTAAATTGCTCAATTCAATTTGGCAACGGTTGATTTGGCTTGGTTCATTCCTGTTAAACGCGGTCCATTTTAGTTTTAGAATTTGAGAACAACAAACTTACGACACTCTTCGCTAATACGGCAGAGATCCGGTCACATTTGTTGTGGTAATAATCCATTTGAAGCACTGGGCACAAAAAGGGCATTTTTTGGTTGCGTTGTCTCAGAATCTTTGCTAACGTTTCATCCATTATAATTAAGGCAAATGTTTGAAATTCTTAAAAACTTTTATTGCATTTTTTTAAAGATTTTACAATGTTGAAAACGAAAAATTTTAGTAAATTCACCGAATAGCTTCCTCTCTAAAATATGAATCATCTGAGTAATCGTACTGAGTAATCTCTGCTTCGATGTGCTTCGTTTCAAGTTGCGCTTACTCGTTTATTTTGGTTGCACTATCAATCTCACAATAACAACGGTGAGGCTCATAGTGTCTTTCTTATAATTTTCTTGTTTGGCCGGTTGAAAATGCGGGTGTGATTCCTGCGAAACGTCCCGGGTTTTTTATTTTATTTCATGTGTTTCTTTTTATTATTTACGGCCTTAGTCCCGTTTTAAGTTGTTTCTTTCTTAAATTTAAATTAGCAGTGGTTAGTCTGAAACACCGCAACCAAAAAATGCCCTTTCTGCACCCAACGCCTCAATTCCTCAACAAATATCCATGATCTCATCAGCTCTTTCATGATAAAACGAAATTCCTCCGAAAACCCGCGACTTCGCAATGCAGATACGCGAGGCGGAGGCGTCGATCAGTCATAGCCACCGCGCGCGGCGGAAGCGCGACGCGAAGCTGCGGTTTCCGCGGCCGGGGCGTCACGTCAGGACGGATATTGCCCCGGCGGTTGGGTTCGCCTTCAAGTAGTCGGTTAGGCAATTAGTCGTGCGCCCGCACCGCCGCCGCGCCGACCACCGTTAGCAATACGCATCTCATCTGCATCTCGTGACGTCGCCTCGTCAAAGCGAAACGCAGACAGCTCATCAACCCGATGCTCATTCATCACGCGTACTCAATTACTCCCCGCTTGTGTTTGCTCTACTTGCCGCACAGTGGATCGAGTCGATAAAAGAGGTCCGACAAAATTTGAAAACTTTAAACGGTTATAACTTCACTTATACACAATTTTGAGGTTCTAAAAGAGGTTCCATTAGTTTCCTCGTGAAATTTTCTCCTGTTTGCACCCCTTACAATTTAAAATGTGACGGAGGAAACTTCAAAATTTGCAGTTTTAGTCAAAATTTTCTTGTCCGACCTCTCAAATTGACTCGATTCACTGTGCGGCGCTGCTAACGATTAACGCTCGGCTCCGCGAGATGCTCTGCCGGGCTTAGTAAGAACGTCGTACGAGCCATCCGGCGTCGCCAGATTTCCATCAACAAACTACGAATTTTCAGGAAAATCTGAGAGTGTTTCTCCTCCGATTTTTCAAATGTTTTCTTTCGTAATTCGATCCGAAAAACTTACACATTTCGAGGAAAAATATGTATGACTTTCTTCAAAAATAAATACATTCAAAGGAGAAATTTGGCAACATTCGAATGTTTATACGGCGTTTTTACATAGCACGGCAATGTTGCGGTGAGGTAGCGTTACTCGGGATCCGTGTTCTGCGGGTTGCCGCGTTGTCCTTGATAGACCCTAGCTGTGGCGTCACCATGGAGGGATTCTCCGTTACATGCATTAGGGGTTGTACCTAAAAGCGCAATTTTTCCGATTTTGACAACCAACTACCCCTTGTAACGCACCCGTAATGTAGCCCTACACCCTTTCGAATTACGTAACGCTGGCCTGACCGCCTCCCTCAATTTTCTTAAAATCAAGAAAACGCTGAGAAAACAGTTTAAAAACAATTCGGATGTTTTGGGGAGATATTTCGCTGAAATACGACGGGAAGAGATCAACAAAGGTGTGACGACAATACGTGATTAAATTCGCTCTGTAAGGGCGGATTTTCAATTTTTTGCACGTTTTTTTTTTCAAGGGTTTTTCCCCCACCTCACTGAAAAGAAAGATTAGTAGAATTCACCATTTCTCGCGCTGTATTTCGCACAGCGTGAGGGAATGGTCTATTCTACCGATCTTTAAGTCGATTCTGCCAGAGGGATGGTTACCTGTACCAGTATATAGTAACGTCTACCTTTCTTCTGGCAGATTGACTATAAATTGACGCTGTGTGAAATACAGCGTGAATGAATGGTAAATTCTACCAATCTTTGTTTTCAGTGTTCCCCTTGTAACGCACCGTAACACTGGCTAAAACCCCCCTCCCCCTAAGTGCGTTACGTAATACTTGAACGGCTCCTAAACAGAATGCAAAGCAAACTTAGAAACTTGAAATTTTGTCAGTATTTCCCTTATAATCTTAAACTCATTCACAAAGATTTCAAAGTTGTTAAATCCAGTGGCTGTGATTAAGCTATTGAAAACATGAAACATAAGAGAAAATCAGGCAACGTAAAATGCGGTTCTCTTTAATAATTCCAAGTAATCCCGATCCCACCTCTGGCTCCCGGATTTGAATCGCAAAATCATTTGAGCCTGCGATTGATTCGTTTCTAAGAGACACACCTCAATCATCAATCGATTGTGATTTAATTGATGAAACTGCGGGCTGGGGATAATGCAAAGTGTGTAAGGTCAGTTACAAATCTGCAAGCATCTGAACAAATAAAGGTTGGTGAATGACGCAGCGGTGCAATCGCGGTATCACCGAGGTAAATCCAATCTCGCGGGCTCTGGCCCATGGAGATACGTGCTCGCAAATCAAACGGCATGCACGCCGCACAGTTGGACTTCGTTTTGCAATTCGGAACTGAAATTTCTGGCTCATCCATAAAGATACTTTTCCTGCCTTGCTAAGAAAAAATGTCGTATGAACCTTCAGACGTTTCCAAATTTCCTTTGATACAACTCGAATTGAATCAGTGAGTTCGAAAACACACAAACTCGGAAAAAAAAGTGTTCAGAAAATACCTAAAACTGCGCAGCGGACGAAGAAGTTAGTTTAAAAAAAACCTTTCTGATGCCAAAAAACAAGTACTTAGAGACTTTGTAAAGCACCAAGTTGAAATCGATACACCATGTTTGATGACAGAGAATTAAGCGTTTAAAAACTTCCGAGTTGGTGAGTTTCCGTTCTCACCGACTTTCAGATACTGATTTTTCAATTGCAATTTCGAAATTTCCTTTTGCGTGCAGATGCTTCTATCCATGTGTGTTACTAAATTGTAAAAAAGTGAAAATCGAAAAAAACCCCGAGTTGGTGGGTTTTCGAACTCACTGATTCAATTTCCTGGTAGACTTATGAATGTTTTCATTCCAATTTTTTAACTAATTTTGTTCGCGATTTCACCTACAGTTTCTGAAAGTTTCAAGGAAGTACATTCATAACTTTTCTCAAAAATAAACATTTTATCAAAGAAAATATGACGATTCTCGTATGCTCATACGACGCGGCGTTCTTCCTTAGCACGGCATGTATAAGCATGGGGAATCCAATTGTATATGCGTTGTTTCTTAGATGACCCAGAAATCATAGTTCTGAATTCCAAAACGTAGTCCAGTTAGTTGTCACGAGACAACATTCAATAATTCTACGATTTTAAAGAAATTAGATGCTGTATAGAAAGTAAGTTTTTTAAAGGGCGGTTCTGGATTTGGGAAGAATTTTACCGGTAGATGATCTCTACATAATATTGTCCGGAGTTGAAAGGACCATCGAGGATGAAAGCAATTTTTACAGCAATTTTAATCAAGTTGAGTAAAAAAGAGGATTGGGGTTTTTAAAGATAGGCCTATCTTTAGTGTCCATAATAGATACGGCGTCGATCCGATTGATCCACGTTTTTACTTATCGATCGAATCCATACACTCTGCTTCGTCGAATCCATACCCTACGCTTCGGAAGTGTTCATCGATCAAATGAACTTCGTTTTGCAATTAGGAGCCACATGTCTTGACTTCGTTCAGAAACAACGTATGTACCGTTAGTTTCCTTATGCACACAAAAGTTTTTACCGATGAGTCAGAAATTGTAATTCCGAATAGCAAGATGTAGTCCAAATGATCACGCGCATACCATTACATTGCTGAGCAACGAGGGATCCCACACAAAAAGTTGCTTCATTCGCATGCTTTTATTTAAAATTATTTATAAAAATATGTGAATGAAGAGCAGAAAATTAGTTGGGTTTTAT